GCGGCGCTAGGGATCCAAACTGCCGACCTTTCTGATCAACAAGCTCGACGTCTTAGCCCCTAGGCCAACCCTTTTGTACATCACAGAGCAATTTAAAACTTTGCTGGGGATTTATTCCAGGAAAAGGAAGTGGAAGATCGTGTTGGCATTTACCTGGCACATTACTTCCCATTCCTTTCAGCACAGCCTTACGCCCTGTAGTTTCTAAAAGGTTCTGGACTTCCTCACTCCCAAGGCTTGTCTCCACCAGGACAGTCTGCGAATCCAGCTGGATGTCAACTATGCGGAGGCCTGTAAGGAAACAGAGAGCTTGGTTGAGCTTTGCTGGGTGATGTAATCTCCCCAGGTGCCAGGTGGTGAGTTCTGTTGCTAGGTGGGTAGAGGGCGAATCCTACCTGTGTTGGATCTTGGGTGAGGGCTTTTGCTTATGAATAGATCTAGCTATCTCTTTATCTCTTGATTCCGGACATCTGCTGTGGGCTGTTGAGGAGGGTGGGGGCTATTAAGAGTGAGTCTGCTTCCTGCCTCTAAAAAAAACCACGTTTCTCCATTTCTCATCCAGGGAAACTATAATATTCTGCCTTTTTAATATTTCCTAGAATATTTCATTCTTCCAGGAGAGAAGAAGACTAAGTTGGATAGTTCATGAATATTTTGGGAAGTTGGACAGGCCATTTCCCCCCCCACGACAATAAAAGAGGGGGAAGCGCGAGAACTAAAGGGACTGTCTCTTGACCAAAGGGCCGGAGTGTGGTCCATTCCAAGCCGCGAGTTCAGAGCTTGCAAAATGACAGGAATCACAACGGAAAGTAAGGCTTCCAAAAGCCCATGCGGTGACCTGGCTCCCATTTAAAACATCAGGGTGGATTTCTGGAGGGTAAAAATCTGTCTCCAGGTATGATGGCTCCTTCAGGATAAAACAGATTCAGATGAACAGAGTTGGTAGGGACCTTAGAGGTCATCTAGTCCAACCCCCCGCCCAAGCAGGAGAATATGAAAAACAGAATAACAGAGTTGGAAGGGACCTTGTAGGCCATCTAGTCCAACCCCAGCTCAAGCAGGAGACTCCCCTTTCGCTCCTCTTTTGTTTCCTCTGGGAGGGGCCATTCATCTTCCACCTGTGACGAGTCGACCCTTGTTTCTGGTTGTTCTTTTCTTCTGGCAGCTCTGTGCATGCGCACCCCTGGGAACAGGCTCCAGCTGTTCTTCTGCCTCACTGATGTCTGACTCTGAAGGCAGCTGAGAACTGTCAGATAGCCCTGGCCCCCAATCTGCCTCCGACACAGAGCCCTCCTCAGAGGCTTCCCCAGACTCCAGGTCTGGCCCATGTTCCTCCCCAACCCTCCTCACTGTCTGAATCGGCTGCTAGCTCTGCTGGCCGGCCACAACAAGTCCTTCTACTCGGCCAGAAAACTGGATCAAAAACTGAATTGCCTTTCTAATACACCTTTTTAGTCAGTAAAATCAAGCGATGAGGAAGTAAACAATTAGGTAGATACCAGGCGACTAGGAGTCCTAACCCCATCTTAAGTATGAAAACCTGTTTAGTGACTTTGGGCCAATCACAAGGATTAGGATTAGGATTTATTTCATTTATATGCCACCCTTTTCCCCGAAGGAGACTCAGGGCAGTTCACAAGACACAAAACTGGCTGCTGTGTCTTGGGGCCAGTCACTCTCCCTCAGCAAAACACCACCTCACAGGATTGTCGCTATGGGGAAAACAGGAGGAGGGAGAAGGTGTGTTGGATACGTTGAGTTATTTATAAATATCACTAAGTGGGGGGGGGGTTTTAAAATAAAATTAGCATTGATAGTTCTGAGGTTGATCTCACCTGGGGTCTTTTGCAGTGTTTTCCGAACCGCCTCTACACAATTTTGGCAAGTCATCTCGACAGCAAACTCCAGCTGCAACAAGAGAAGGAAAAAAGTAACACAAAACTGTCTGTGAAAAATATAAAAGTCATTGAATGTGGCCTCGCCTGACATATATAGCGGAACGCTTCTGGGAGTTGAAGTCCACACACTTTCAAGTTGTCAAAATTGAGAAACACTGACCTAATTCCAAAATTCTGATCTAAAATCAGGTTCGCCTGGAAGGGGAAGGGTCTTTTGTCATGCATTCCCCCCCCCCCGGGCCATACTTTTACCTGCCACATACAGGTAAGTCCTCGACTTACAACCAGGGGGTAAGAGACCGGTACCTTGGTCTAAATACCAAACAAATGACCCATTGGGATCCCCATATCAAAACAACTTACCTTCTGTGAAGCCAGAACCAGAAAATAACATTGAACACAGCAGAGGACTTAAACAAAAGGGTTCAGTTCAGATCTGCATAGGTGGGACTGATTGTGGTAGATAGTAAGGATGACACCGAAATATAATTTTATCATATTTTATTTATATCTTATTGTATTCTACTCCAATTTCATTTTAGACTGTATTTTATTCCCATTCCATTTTAAATTGTATTTTATTCCCTTTTAAATTGTATTTTATTCCCTTTTAAATTGTATTTTATTCCATTTTAAATTGTATTTTATTCCCTTTTAAATTGTATTTTATTCCATTTTAAATTGTATTTTATTCCCTTTTAAATTGTATTTTATTCCATTTTAAATTGTATTAAATTTAATACAAATTCCATTTTAAATTGCCTTTATCCAATCTTAGTAACGATTTGTTTCTGGAACTTTGCACTTTTGATATGGCCCAAAGGCAAATCAATAAAGACTCAATGTCAATGGCTTACTACAAGGATTGACACCAAAATGTATGTCGCTAAGCAAGGCATTTGTTAAGTGAGTTTCGCCATGCTTTGCGACCTTCCTTGCCACGGCTGTTCGGTGAATCACTGCCGCTGTTCAATTGTTATCACGGCCGTAAAGTGAATCTGCCTTCCCCGTTGACTTTGAAGGTCACAAAAGGGGATTGCAGGACCCCTGGGACGCTGCGGCCGTCATAAATTGCCAAAGCCTCTTGAATTTTGATCAGATGGCGATGCTGCAACGGTCGTTAAATGTAAAAAAAAAAACCGGTCATAAGTCAGTAGTTCAACCGGTGTAGCTGCCCTCCCTTTTGCTCCTGCTTTTCAAAACAATTTTTCACTGCCACTAACATTGAGTAGTCACTAAACGAAGTGTTCTAAGTCGAGGGCTGCCTATACTTCTTCCCCTAGCCAGATTTAAGCACCACACCCCCTCCGCCATAACTAAGAATGACACAGCAGGTGTCAGTTCAACCGGTGCAGCTCCTGCATTTCAAAACGACCCCCGCCCGCCTCAACCTCTTCGGACATGCGCAAAGCGTCGGGCAGGGAAGGAAGAGGCAGCGGTTCGATTCTCCCCACCCCGGGAGAGTTTCCCCTACCATGCAGCGGAGTCCTCCGCTCCTTTCAGGAGCTCCGTCCATCTTGTCTTCAAGAAGAATAAGAATAATAATTAAAACAAAAACAAGGTCGACCCGGACCACTTTGAAGGAGACACGCAGCCATAGCCAACCGGGAAGCCCTGCCGCGCTCCCCGCTTCGACATGCGCAGTGGAGAACGGAACTAGGGCGCAACGGTTTAACGTTCCGGCCGGACAGCTGTAAGGACTGGACCGCTCGGTTGTCAAGGCGACGCCGAAAACGCGGCCTAAGCGGCGGTTGGTATTTGTCCCGCCATGGCGTCGAGTACCTCGCCGCCCGGGCGGCTGCTGTACCAGCTGGAGGACACGGGGAAGTGGATACAGCAGATGCGCGCGCAGTACAAGCGCATCCTGACGCCACTCTCGCTCTTCCCCACCACTTTTTCCCGACTCAAGCCGTGCCTGTCCGGCTCTTCCCTGGGCCCGCAAGACGAGGAGGAGCTGCCGGTGCCCATCTCGCTCTCGGCCCTAATTCAGATGGTGAAGGCCCGGTTGCAGCCGGGGCCTCAGGAAGCCCAGGCCCACCCTCACCACCTGCGGACCTTCCGGGACATCATCCTCACCCAGGTCAAGCACGCCCACAAGGACCTCCAGCACCTGCTGCACGACCCGGCCTTCAGCCCTGACACCAATCGGGAGCTCTACCAGCACCTCTTGACCTACCTCGGCCTGGTCTGCCAGCATCTCTTCCACCACTATTTGGGCCTCATACAGTGCTGCCAGCTGCGGCGCATCTTCACCGACTGTGCCAACCTCATCCGCTTCTCGGCCCAGCTGGCCCTGGATTGCTCCAAGTTCCTCAATGTGACGGACGTGCGCCAGCGCCTGGTGTGGGAGATGAAGAGGATGGCGGACCACCCGCCCGAGTCGCCGACCAAATCCTCCAGCCCTTTTGGCCCCATGACCACCCATTCCTTGGGCAACCGCCTGGGCATCACCATCTGTTACTTCATCAGATACATCCGGCCCCATACGCTGACGGAGAAAGAAAAAATCGCCCAGGATGTGAAAGAGCTGGAGGATTTACCCTTGCTCGACATGAGCAAAATCAAGCAGTTGAAGCTACCCACCGCCAGGAAAGCGGATTTCCTGCAGCAAATGGCCGTCGCGGCTGTCACCACCCCTTATCCCCGTGTGTCCTCACGCGCTTGGTCTAGGCCTCAGATTATCCCGGCGACTTCCGTCCTTCTCAAGTCCCAGTCACTGCCCAATATGAGGGTAGGGAGGCTTTTAGCCGATGAACTCGGCATCCATTTGATCTCTCGCCGGCTCAGCCCCGATCTGCTTTGCCGCTGCCCCGAATCCCCCGAAAGCAGCGAACCGAAGGGTCCAGCAGCCCTGGCTGAAGACCTTAAGAGGCTGGTCCGCGGCTCCATCTTGGACAAGTCTCCATGGAAAGACGAGCAAGAGGATTTGGATCTCCCTCCCCTCATCAAAGTATTGACGTGGACCAAGGCCAACGAGAATCACCAGATGCACTTGCAGAGAGTTCTCAAGTCCCTGCGCGACGAAGAGAGCTTTGAGAGGAAGCGGAGAAACACCATTATCGCCGCCCCGGCTTCTCATCCTCAGGCAGCGACGGTGAATGTCAGAATCCATGACAGGCTGGTGGTAAAAACAGCTGATTTGCAGGTGTCTGAAAGACACTATATCGAAAATGTAACGACGGAGAGGGCTTTACCAATCTACAATCACCTCCTGGGGGAGATAAGTCCTGCTACCATGAAGATGCTGGATGCAAATCTTTCTACCGGACAAGAGGTCCAGGAGATCTACAAGGAACTGATGAATACGATTCCTAAAGACCACCTGAAGTTTGACCAAGGATCCTTAATACAGTGTCCTGCAACTCTCCTGCCTCATGACTCCTGCTTTGCTTCCTCGACGCTGACGAAGAGGAAATGTGAGCAGATCGTTAATACAGAGCTGAGTGAAATTCTCCCAGCTGGGCCCTTAGTCCCAGAGGAAGAGGTGGATGTAACCCAAGCCCCAAATCTATCCAAGAAGAAGCTGGCTTCAAAAGAATATGCCTCCTGGCTCAAATGGTGGAAAGCCACATTTAACATCGACGAGTATTTGAAATTCATCAGCAGCAACAACGTGGACTATCTGCCGGTCATATTTCATTTGTACAACCCCGACGAAGATGATAAAGAGGGGAAGGAGAAAGACATGCAGGGTCTGTTAAACGAGGAAGAAGTGAAGAGACAGAAAGTGAAGAGGCAGCAGCTAAAAGCCGCTGAGCTCCAGTCGCAGAAAGAACTATTCCACACTGGGTTGTGGAATGCCAGCAGCGCGTGGTTGGAGAGCCTCGGAAGTTCTACGATTGACCACAGGTTTGAAGATTTCAAGGCTCTACAGAGGAGAATGGAAAGACTGTGGACCGTCCTTCATTTCTCCGAACGAGAAAGGATAGATATGGCCATCAAGTACAGCTCTAACCAGTATTACTTACTGCTTCCAGACATGCTGAATTCCTGGGAGATCGCTGCCCAGTTTATCCAGGACCGGGAACTCCTGCTGGCTGAGATAGAAGAGTTTGAGCAGGCGGCTTCGGATCCCAACCGCTTATTCAGCAAGGAGCCGGGCTCGTACGCCACCAGGGTGCAAGAGACGAAATTCAGAAGCAACTTGCGTTTCGAGTTGGAGCAGTACAACTTAGAACTCCGCGCGATTCTGAAACACATCAGTGACGCCTTCAACGACACGGTGACTTTCAAAGGTCGGCCATACCAAGTCAAGATGGAGAGGGACCTAGTGGAGATGCTTTATTGGTTGCAGCAGGAGCGTCGGGCTGTGGTTTTGAGGAAAGCGGTCCACAGCAGGAGCTCGGGGAGGCTTTCTCCTCTTTTTTAGATTGGCTCCACTATCTGTTGCTTTGGAAACACACTCCTTTCCACCTGCATCGATTCTGCCCTCCGTTATTCCCCCCCCTCCCGAATTTAGGAGGCTGAGAACAATGGAGGCAGTGTCAGTTAAGATCAGATTGATGGAAAACTCAAAGAAGTTTTTCCTTAGGTTCAAGGATGAGCTGGAGATAACGCAGGTGAGACGGGGGACAAAGCCAACACCCTGCGAAATATCCTCAGGAGCAATAGCAAAACGACAGCTGGGTGCTTGTCAGCTTTGCTTTCTTTGCCAGTATAATTTGTAATTGTTGAATAGTTCCGTCTTTCATTAAAAATATGTTTCTGGTTCTCATGGTGGCTACTTTTTAGACACCCATGTTGGATGGGCCAGGTCTCATATCCTTGCTTTGTTTCTCTATCCACATTGGCCCGTCTCGCTTTTGGGATGCAGTGGGTTTGCCCTACCACTGTTGATTTGGAATGATGGGAGTTCCTGAGCCAGCTATGCTTTTGGTCAGGAATTCTGGGAGTTGAAATTCATGGTTCTCCATGTGCACGAGATGGTCCATCAAATAAAAACATCCCCAAATCCCTCCCTCCTCTGCTTTTAACTCAAGTGCGGAGAACCATGGATTTTTACTCCCAGAAGTCCTGACCAAGAGCATCGCTGGCGNCAAGGGCACGCGCTGCCCGGTTTGCTGAATCCGGCGCGGCTTCAGAGAAAGAAGACGTGCGAGAAAGCCCCCCCCCATCCCCGCTGCCTGAACGTTTGAATGAAGGAAGCTGCAGGCTCCTTTGTCCTCGGCTATGTGATTTCCTTTCGTTCTCTGCTGCCCGAACGAGTGTATGAGGCAGAGGGAGAATGAAAGGAGATTGCGTCGGATGGGGGGAGTGAGCCAAGCATTCCAGTACTATGCCACTGGAGGAAGAGGTTCTAAAACGTACGCTCAATTTCACAAACAAGTTCTAGCATACTAGTTAGAACAGGCTGAAACCCACCCCTGCACTGCAGCCAAACTGACCTGAAACAAGGAGTGATTGCTTCCTCCGCCCACTTCTTCGAACGGCAGGCCTCGGTGGCGGTTAAGGTTCCTATCTTTAAATGCAGATCTTTCCTTGCCACTTTATGAGGTTGAGCCCGGAATTGCTTTCTGAGCACGGGGCGATGGGTGATAGTTTGTGCAGAAGCCCGGTTAAGTCCTTTGCTAGCAGGCAGGTTCTAGGACGCCTGTCGCCACCAAAGGACCTTCCTGAAGTTGCTTTTCTGAGCACGGGGAAAACGGATGGTATTTTGTCCCTTCTGTCTCCCCATTGCTCAGAAAAGCAACTCTAGGAAGGTCCTTTGGTGGCAGCAGGCATCCTAGAACCTGCCTGCTAGCAAAGGACCTTCCCGAAGTTGCTTTTCTGAGCAACAGGGAGACAGAAGGGACAAAATACCGTCCAGCCAGGATGGGTATACAGGGCTGGGGGCAGGGCAGGCTTACTTCCGGGTCCGGTGACCAAACGGTTCACAAGAACCGGTGGGGACTGGCAGCAACCCACCCCTGATCTAATCTAATGATTACAAACCATGCTGTGCAATGATAATTTCAGAGATTTTGGCACAAAAGTTTTTTTAATATTGTAAACATATTTTCTATACTTGTTTATGAGAAAAAATGACATCATTGTTCACTGAAATACTAATCTGCCTTTTAGTGGAAGCATATTGTAACTTTATCATACAAACCCTTTCTGCTTATTTTTAAAAGTAATTTTGTTGTACACAATAAAAGAAGAAAATGAGAAAGTGGCTATTAACCACTTTTAAATCACTTTACTTAACATAAGTATATTTAAGAGGCTCAGAGAAAATAATTGAAATAGATTTTATTCCAGTAAGAAGATTTTGGGTTCTGAAGGCATAGTCACTGCCAAAGCCTTAATTTGCCCATGGCTGGAAGAACTAAGTGCCTTTTTGCTCCTTTCCCATCTGAAGCAACAATTATTATCTGACCTACTTTCTTACACAAGTAACAATCAGCCTCTGTTAGTTCTTGGCCTTTAGAGCAATGAATTTTTAGGACAATTCATTTCAAATGCCACATGACTAAGGAAATAGTCTTTAAATTGTGACATAATATCTGGTCTGGTTTTCCCATTTCCTAATTTTCTGCCATAGTGTTTATGTACCTTTGATTATATAAAAATACAATAGATTGTGTAATATTTAATTGAAGAATAACTATAGTAATTATCATGAGATGAATATATTTTTCTTTCATTTTGGAATGCCAGCTAAAAATATATTTCTATAAATACTTTTTCTGTTGTTATTTGCAACTATATGATTGTGGTTTATGTTTTGGTGAGCTTTTATGTTTATTATTGATCAGGGAGTGAGAGGGAATGTAGACTTCAATATAGTTGCACTGTAAAATGAAGAAAATTATTTATTTATTTTGAAAGGAAGACATTCTAAAGCTATATCTGTCTCAAGTGTGTTTTAAATCACCTGGCCCAATTGTATCGTGGAATTTATTTTTAAAAAATCTAAGCTGTGATAAGATTCTATTATGTGTTGTGCTAGCCAAGCATAGAAAAAAGAAAAGTCATAGATACCACCAGGGGATACAAATTACATTAAAACTCTTTTAAGACGTGATTTAAAAAGTGATAAATGCAGCAAGTTAGGAAGCAAGATGGAAGGGTATGAATCCTATCAACTGGCAATAGAACTGTGTAGTGCATCAGATTCAAGCTGCAAAATATAACTTTTTATTGCACCTTTGTTGAATCCAGAGTGCTGCACTGTTCTATTTTGCAAATCTGCATGCTCATGTACAGATGGTGGTGGGGAAAGGAGATAAATGCTTAGAAGGGCTTGGGGTTTGTTTGTTTTTTTGCTTTTATTCTATTGGGTCTAATTCTCAAAGACTGCCTGCGGTTATCTTGGCAAGGTTTTTTGGGAAGTGGTTTGCCATTGCCTCCTTCCTAGGGCTGAAAGAAAATGACTGACTCAAGATCACCCAACTAGCTTCATACCAAAAGCCGGAGTAGAACTCATTGTCTCCTCCCACAATTCCTCTGTAAACCACAGGCAGTGATGGGATCTGTGTGAGGAGAAATGTCAGTAGATTCTTCTCTGTCTGCATATACCTGTGTATATCAATATTTCCAGACTTCCATGTATAAAAACTGGAATATATAAATTAGATAAATATTCAGCAAGTGTGTCAACAGGAAGCTTATTTCACTAGCTGTAAATAGATCCAGTGGTTGAATTTCTCTAATTTCACCCAGAAAGATGAAGAGCCTTTTTCAAATAGTCCCAATCATTGAATTTTCTGGTGTTCTGATATCATTCCCGTAGATGTTTGCTAAGAATTACTTAATTATTAGGAATTACTTCTGGGCAGATATGTATCCAAGTATGTTGAAAATGACTTTTGAAACAATCATCTCTAGTTCAGATATCTGAATTTGTGCTTCCTAAAACACTTTAGTTGTTACAGATGAGGTCCATCTGGTTATAATTTACATATTTATATATTGAACATGACTACATATTATTTTCAGCTGTTTATTCAAATATACTAGCTCAATTAATTTCAATTAATGGTCTTACCTTTGACTGCAATATATGTTTCCATCCTTTATGTGTGATGTAATCTACCTCGTACTATTAGGGATAGCATTTTGTACTATTAAATTTATTTAAATTAATGATTGTCCAGCATCTAATGTTTTTTGGATATTACTGTAAAATATAATAAAATAAAATTGATAAAAATAATGTTAAATATGCTTATTAATCTAATTTAGAAAAGTTTATTAAGAGTATCCTTATGGTTGAATTGAAGTGGATGGTTAATTTGTTGTCATGGTTAAGGAATCAGACAAACGTGGAGACCAGAATTCTAGTTCTGCACTAGAAAAAAGCCATCTGGGTGACTTTGGGCCAATCATACTCTCTTAGGCTTAGGAAGCAAGATTTGCCATTCCTTCTAAGTCTTGCCAAGAAAATTGAGACTACTTTAAGTAGTCATCAACCACCAACATTGACAAAGGGATCAAAAATAATTTGTGTTAAGTCACATTGGCAGTATTCTTATCCTGGAATATGGCAAGAATAGATTATTATTAGTAGATGATTATATTGATTTGCATTTTTCCATTTAGAAGGAATTTGTTTTTTTTTAAAGATTTTTTACATATCAAATTGAATCAGCCCATTGCATCTGATTGTGAAAACAACTTTATATAATATTCTCGTTAATTTCTAAAACTTTTCAAACCACTTGACTCATATAGGCCTTGTAGGTACTTCAAATCAAGTATTATTTGTTCCAGTGGAAGATGTGGACATAGAGGAAATTGTAGGGAATTGAATTGGATTACCTAGTTAATGTGTTGCTTTTACATACAGTATAATGTGAAAAGAATAAACAGTCCAAAAGACTCCAAAAGGACTGTTTTTATAGCATTTACAAAGTGTTTAGAAAATTATTAGGAATGATATACATCTAGTATTTTAAAAAGAAAATAGTTAATAGGATAAGTGGATAAGATCCTTCTCCCTGAGGATAATTATGAAGTAGAGAACCTAGCAGAAACTTAGCCTGTAGCTGAGAAATCAACAAGCTATCAGCTGCCTGGTGAGGATGACTCAGTCTCAGCATAAGTGATAGCTGATTCAAAGAACAAGGAGCTGGATCCTGAGTTTGGGAGACTTCCAAGACTTAAAACATGCCATCAGCTAAGCGGGAGTGAGGAGATTGGCAACTCTCCTTTAGAATAATGGGTTTCAATTCCTCTAATTAGGCAAGTAGTCAAATTCCAGCCGTTCTTTCCCCAGATTCTCTCCCCTTGTTGGAAATAAATGTCTGCTTCTGGACTTGCTGCATTCCCTTAGCTTTTCATTCTTGGTTTCTCCCAAGTCTTTGTCCAAAAAATGGATCTTTGGTTTATGATCCTTAGACTGCTTAGTATAAAACTGCACACTATATTTTCAAAAAGTTGCTCATTTTCTCCTCTCATAGTCATTCAGTCATAACTGAGCCAAACAATTTTCCAGGCACGCTTAATAAGCTAACCAACCTTCTTCCTGCATGGATTTTGCATTTAGTCTTGCTGCCTTTGCTTTTGACTAGGGGAACAATGAACAGATTTCCTCCAATCATCAACTAGAGATACAATCTCCAGATCCACATTAAACAACTTGCACAGACATTTCATTAACAAGCTACATCCATATCTTAACTGTCATAGCATCTACATTTTCAGCTTTTCTATTTGTCATCATTCTCACATTTGTTTTGATTTTACATCCATTTTTTAATGGACTAATTTGCCTCTTCAGCAAATCT